GAAAAAAAAAGAGAAATTCCAGAAGCAGGGCTCGAACTCACGACGTTCACTTTAGGAGAAGATGTACCCCCCCTGACATACATAAGAAATAATGAAAATAAAAAACTAAAAAGATGGGACGATTCCCCCGAGACATTCTATGAAGCTGAGGCGTCGAATCGGCTTACGTTACGGTTAGAGATTTCGGCTCTTCCACGCTATCCCGAGTGAACATAAAACTTAGTCTTAACCAAAAGGCCAGGGAGTGAGGGGGTAGCCGCCCACTAGAGCATACCTTTAGCTACCCTCTTAGACCATCGTACTATGAAGACACTTATAGATATGTGATATCTAATGGGGGTAGTCTATTCGGCGAAGTTCTATGCTAATATATGACGTCACCAAAATCCTTAGGGAGAAACGAGCCAATCAGAGCTCAGATCTTGAATTACCAAAGGATACAGAGTTTGCATAATCATTCTTCAGTGGAAGTATTATTTGATGGGGGTGGGGACGGGTGCCGAGTGCTGGTTTGCGGCCGAATACCGATGTACTCGATGAACTGTAACGGCTGTCATCGAGCTGTTCAGTTCTCGTTATTGTTTTCCAAATTATCACAGGAAAAGTCGAGCACAGTTCTTATATCAGACAGACATCACAAGTGTTCGGATAAACAGCACAACAAAAATTCGTTTATACTAGACCAGGCAGATACTAGCCGTTGCCTGCAAAGATTTGCCGGGATTCAATGGAACACAATTGAAAACCTTCAAACATTACACTCGAACGTTCCACATTTTCGTTCTTGGTGATATAAAAGTTTACAAATGGATTAATATTGATTATCAAATAATCTGAATATAGTGAATTAACAATTGAAGAGGATGAATGACAATTCGTATAAAATGGATAAAGAAATACTGAAAAACTGAGCAATCTTTGGGGTTATATTCCAAAACTTACTCAGGCGAGTACGAGTAATTGATCGTTTTCAAGCATTCCCATGAGATTCAAAAGATGAAAGACCGGCGGCCATGTTGGAGGACCGAACAATAGTACGGAAGTACGCATTGAGAAGGGAACGTGCGTACGCACGGGAACCCTGTGTCGGTCCATGAAAAATCGACTCGATGATATACTATTTTTTCTTGGCTATGGTGCTCCGCCATTAAGCTGCAAAGATCAGTAAACCACAGGAATATATAGTTTAAAACCTGAAAACTAGAATGACCCACACCTAGATAAGCTTTGGAGTGAAGATGTGACCCTCCCCTAAAGCTTGCAAAAATGATATATGACCCTCCCCTCTCCCACTCCCACTCCAGCCCTCCCTTCCAAATAATACCTTCCCTAATATGAATCGATTTAGATCGTTAATTATAAAGTTATAATAGTTTTTTCCTACCTAGATAGATATTTTAAAACTCCCGCTCATTCAGTGCATCAAAGACCTTAATTGAGCGGGAGCCGAGCGTCACGCTAAGTGTGACAAGAAACCAAAGGTGCTCGAAATAGTATAATATAGTATAATTTATAAGTTTATTAGCAATCTAAAAAAAGGATGTTGATTCATATTATAACGTTCTATTTCGAGCACCTTTGGTTTCTTGNATATGTGATATCTAATGGGGGTAGTCTATTCGGCGAAGTTCTATGCTAATATATGACGTCACCAAAATCCTTAGGGAGCAGCGAGCCAATCAGAGCTCAGATCTTGAATTAGCACAGGATACAGGCTTTGCATAATCGATGAACTGTAACGGCTGTCATCGAGCTGTTCAGTTGTCGTTATTGTTTTCCAAATTATCACAGGAAAAGTCGAGCACATGCAGTTCTTATATCAGACAGATATCACAAGTGTTCGGATAAACAGCACAACAAAAATTCGTTTATACTAGACCAGGCAGATACCTTCGAACATTACACTCGAACGTTCCAGATTTTTGTTTACAAATGGATTAATATTGATTATCAAATAATCTAAATGTAGTGAATGTTAACAATTGAAGAGGATGAATGACACTTAGCGTGACGCACGGCTCCCGCTCAATTAAGGTCTTTGATGCACTAAACTAGACGCTCCTGGAGCGTGAAGTCGGGCTAGCTATTTTGGAAAATTGAAAAATTACTTGGATTTTCGAATACGTGAAGAGCAAAAGAGTTCAAATTCGTATCTAAAAAAACATGTAATATTCTGACACTCATATAATTATATATGAAAGTAAATTATGGAGTAGAATACCTTATCTAGTTTGTTTATTCACGCACCACGATATTCTTTTCTGGTGGCTTGGCGCAACGCGACATCAAAACACTAGAAATATCGATCCAGGAGTGATATTCTGTCTTTCTCAATTTTCAAAAATAGCTATCCCGACTTCACGCTGTAAAAGCGTGTAGCTCATTCAAAATATGCAAATTTCGTGTGATTTAAAAAGGTCATATAAACAACACTTTATTATTTACAATTTTTGATGCAATGTTTAAAGGAAAGAACCCTATTAACCTATACTTATCCCGTTTTTTGTACATGGACCAGCTTATACTATTTAGGGGAATCTCCAAAGGCAATTCTTTCAAATAAATTCAAAATAAATGCTTTAAATGCTCTTTAAACTCATGTCCTATCATCACTAATGCAACCACAGACGAAATGGCGCAATGCATTTGATTATCAGATATCGGTGTAACGTTTCACGTTTTTAATTAAAAAAATGACCTCTGAGGTCAAGAAGCATATTTTACAAAACAAGACTGCGATGAATAACACAGTAAATGGGGAAATATAAKTGACAAAACTATTTATTGATACGTAAAATATAGCTATTAGAACAAATAAACTTATCACTGTGAGTCTAGAGCTGATTGTAGAGGTCTGATCCTTCGTCTTGCCGAAGAATTCTTTGGGCTCGCGGAACGACTCGTTTCGAAACTGACRCTCATTGACATCTTTTAGTGTGCGTTTGTAAGATGGTGTTTTACTACTCTGAGCATGCTCACTACTTTCAAGGAGTTTCTGAAAGGCAGTTCTTCCCCAGTTTCTTGAAGAGCAGTACTTCCCATATGGTTCTCAGTAATCCAAAATATTAGTATATAAATCAAGCCGAATGTAGAATAGTACGATGAAGCACTGTATAGTAGGCCCAAAGGATATGACGTTGTAGACTTATAGATGTCATAAATATCATGTGATGTAATGAATTATTTACGGACTGGTGTAATTATTTCAACTTCCGGTGGCCAAACGCGACATGWCACACACATAGACAAAAAGGTAAAACTAAAGTCGGGCCCCCTTCGGGTAGCCCGACTAATGAGCGGGAGTTTTAAAATGTACAAAACAAATCCCAAAAATGATATCTAAGTAAGAAAAAACTTTTTATAAGTTTATTAGCAATCTAAAAAAAGATGTCGATTCATATTATAACGTTCTATTTCGAGCACCTTAGCGTGAAGCACGGCTCCCGCTCAATTAAGGTCTTTGATGCACTAAATGAGCGGGAGTTTTAAAATGTATAAAACAAATAAGAAAAAACCTTTTATAAGTTTATTAGCAATCTAAAAAAAGATGTCGATTCATATTATAACGTTCTATTTCGAGCACCTTTGGTTTCTTGTCACACTTAGCGTGAAGCACGGCTCCCGCTCAATTAAGGTCTTTGATGCACTAAATGAGCGTGAGTTTGAGCTCGAAATAGAACGTTATAATATGAATCGACATCTTTTTTTAGATTTCTAATAAAGTTATAAAGGTTTTTGTCTTATTCAGATAGTATTTTTGTACATTTAAGATCAGATACTGTTTTGGGGATCACATTTTGAGTCCACGGTAATGTCTCTCAGTGGTGATCCCCATGGTCCAAATCCAACATGGCGGGTGTTGGTGATCAAAGTGATTCGTCAAATCTCAACAAATCAAGTTTAAAAGAAAAACCTGACTCACASCCAGAAAAAGGTTATAAAAAAAATGAATACAGTGTTATAAGGTTGCTATATGTCTCATTAGTTTTCTGGTATTGMTTTCAGGAAAGGAGTTTGGACGTCAGGAATCAGCTGGGAAACAAGGTTCACACGTACGTCGTGTATAATTGCATAGTTTAACCTTTTTTATCGTTATTATTTATATTAAATTATATAAAATATTACATTTAGAATTTCATACTTATGAGTAACAGGTCTATCTCAATATTTCCAGAGATATATTTATATCGCTAAACCAGAGGGCCATGAAAACTAAAAGTGAATAATAATGTACAGTCATTCCCYACCCCTCTCCCTCTAGGGTAACTTAGCCTGGAAGGGTTGGGGGAATTTGTTTACCCCTCAATTTTGCTGTTGTTGTTTATTAACAGTGACTAAGATCCAAAAACAGTTTCTCAAATCAAATCTGATATTTCTAGTCAGGAAAGAAAGGTAAGCAGAAAAACAAGGGAGACAAACAGCAAAAACAAAAACCTTCAAAACAAAAGGATGAAAAACCAGACACAAAGAAGGATGGAGAGGGTAAGACTGAGTCAGGAGCYTCTGGTGGAAAGGCAAAACAAGAAGGATCAGTACCGACTGGAGTTGCTGACAACAAAGAACAACCACAGAAGAGTAAAGCTGAGCTGAAGGCTGAGAGACGAGCAAARCAAGAAGCACAGAGAGCTGCTAAAACTGCACGAAATGAAGGTGGAAAACCTAGGACTGATTCAGGTATAAACACATACTTAACACTTTGAATTCCAGGTAATAGCAGGGTTCCTTTGCATTTTGCCTTTTTTAACATTTAGTTTTGTTTATAAAGTACACAGATCAATGCAAGTRGCACCAAGTCTACAAGTTGATGATGCCAAAGTGCAAAAGAAGGTTGCCAAGAAGCTTGCAAGAGAACAGGTAAAGTACGAAGGGGAGGGGAGGTAACAAATTTGCCAAGGGGGGTAGGTAGGAGAAGTGATACAACAAGATGGGCAACAGAAAGAAACAGATACAGCATGGAAGGGGATGAAGACGAAATTCAGCTTGTTATCATAAGAAAATAAAGTAAAAGTCTTTGATTTATTTCTTGATTGCTAGGTTCCCGTACGACCAATATCCCAGAAGAAAGTTGGTTTATTTTCTCACCTGCATCAGTATGAAAAAGATGTATCTTTAACTCAGGAATTGAGGTATTCAAATTAAATCTTCAGGTTAACTTCTTTTATCCATACTTGTCCAACAGTCTGACAAATTTATGTATAGTTTTGTATTCTATTATATTGTGTTGTTTTCAATTTTATTGTATTGTTATGTAAATATAACTCAATGCATAGATTTGTCTGAGTTTGCACAACAATGGATTCAGAGTGTATTTCCAGTTCTACTTTGACARCCAAATGATAATCRCAAGTACAAACTAACTCTGGACGACACTCAAGTTTAACCATGAGATAATATTTTAGTCTAGGTACAGTRGGGAACATCCATCCTTCTATAGTTAAGCTTGGTGTCCAATATGCCAATGGAATTATATGTGGTTCGAATGCTAGATGTATGGCACTTTTGTTGGCYCTTAAAAAGGTACTACACTATTTATCAGTTATGTATTTTATCCCAAAAACAGGCAATAGTTCTTTAGACATGATTGATACTGACTTGTTTCTATTTKTGTTTTAGTTTATTGCTGATTACAATACTCCAGCTCATAAAGAACTGTCAAGAGACTTAGAGGCAAAGCTGAAACCAAACATCAGGTACATACGACAAAGATGTTGATAAGATTGTGAACAAGAGACACTATTAATTATACTGTAAAATAGTTAGTAGACTACTAGTCTGTAGCAAGCATTGATGTTGATTTTCTTTGCTTCAAATTTAGTA